GAGGGAGAAGCAGGCTTCCCACTGAGCAGGGAGCCCGATGCGGGGCTCGATCCCAGGACCCTGGGATCATGACCTGAGCTGAAGGCAGACGCTCAACGACTGAGCCACCCAGGCGCCCCTGTAGGATAGATTTCTTAAAAGTTTAGCTGGCTAGCTAATGGGTATGTACATTCAGAATAATAGATACTGCCTGATAGCTTTCCAAAAAGTCAAACTAGTTTACCTGTCAACAGGATATAAAGGCCCATTTCTTGACACTTTTGCTAATACTAGATATTATCAAACCTTTTGGTTTGGGCAAATCTAGGGAGCAAACAGTAACCAGTATCCTCTCGTTTTAATTCAAGTTCGTATGATTATCTTTTTGTATTTATTATGCTCATCTTTTTTTGTTTATAGCCAGTTGATCTTCTGTTGTTTTTATTGTCTTTCCTTTTTAGTCTATAGACTTGTCTTGTTAGTTTGTAGGCACTCCTAATGCATGCTGCATAGTAAGTTTTAGTGTGTTTTATAGCCTGATATTTGTGTTTTAATTCTTTTTATGTTGTCTTTGTGGCACAGAATTTAATTTTTTTTCTTTTTTTTTTTTAAGATTTTATTCATTTATTTGACAGAGAGAGACAGCGAGAGCAGGAACACAAGCAGGGGGAGTGGGAAAGGGAGAAGCAGGCTTCCCGCTGAGCAGGGAGCCCGATGTGGGACTCGATCCCAGGACCCTGGGATCATGACCCGAGCCGAAGGCAGAAGCTCAACGACTGAGCCACCGAGGCGCCCTAATTTTTTTTTTCATATAATCCAATCTATTAGTATTTTATGGTTTCTGGGTTTTATGTTTTGCTTAGGAAGACCTTTTCCATCTGAAGTTATAAAAATATTGCCTACGTTTTCTTCCAATATTCTTATAATGTTCTCTTTTTTAAAAGCTTTTAAACGGTTTGGAACTTATATTTGTTTATATATCCATTTTTTCCCCCCAAAAGGAGCGCCATCCTTCCCAACAAATTAAGCTCTTCAAAGTTTACTTTAAGAATTCTTAAAAACCTTAGAATTGCATTGAATTTGTAGGATCCTTTTGGGGCTGCTTCAGGATTCTTTCATATACGTAGAAGTCACTAGCGATTTACCCACCGGACTGATATGTAGTGGTAGTGAGCTCTATAGCCACGTGGGTTGTAATGATCTCTTTCTGAGATGTGACACATTGTGAAATAAATTTTGAATGGAATTTTTGTTCCATAATTATATCTATATATTTATATATAATGAGGGATGAGGTATATTTTCAGTGCCTCTGGAGCTTATAGTCCAATGGGAAAGACAGGTATGTCAACATAATTTGTAAACTCAGATGATAAGTATTCTACTGGAAAATCCTGGAGTACCTGAGAATGGCACCCAGTGCAATGGAAGTATGAATCAGGAGGTCAGGTAAGGTTTCTTGGAGGCAGTGATGTGTGAGGTAAATCTTAAAGGAATGACAGGAGTTTGCTGAGTGAAGGGTGGCATTTTAGAGAGGGGTAGGGGTAGCAGAAAGTATGAACAGTATGAGCAGTTATGAAAGGATGAATATATACTTGTCTATAAGTATATATTCTAGAGTCTAAACCCTGTGTGGGGTTGGCTAGGAAGCCAGTAGCCCAACTATATATATAGGGGCCCTTGCTTGTATCCCATACCAAGAATTTGGTATTTGTACTCTGGGCAGTCAGGAATTACTGAAGATTCTAAAGGAGTGGATGGAGGGTGATGAGCAGATTTGTGCATGAGAAACATCACCTTGTGGCATTTTGAAAGGTGGATTTGAAAGGCTGAGATAGGGGCAGGGAGACCAGTTAGGAGGCTCTGGGCAATGATACTGGCAGGTGTGAGGTAATGGGGATCAGAAGGAGAAGACACATGAGAAATATTTCAGAGTTAAGATCAGCAGGGCATGGTGACTGCAAGGAGAAAGAAGGGAGAAGTTAGCACCTAGAGAAGAGCTTAGGTGACTGGCTGAGTAATTGGGGACTTAGGGGTGGGGCTTGAAGGGAGGGGGGCAGCAGGATGACAAGTCAGAATTTAGATGAATCTCACTCCTCTATGGGATATGCAAGGGGAGATGTCAACCTGGCAGCTGATTGTGAAAAGCGGCAGGAAGTGTACCCCAGGTCCTGATCTGGGAGCCATGAGCGTGTTGGCTCCATCTCAGGACCCCGAGATCATGACCTGAGCCAAAGGCAGACACTTAACTGACTGAGCCACCCAGGCGCCCCTAAAGATTTTATTTTTAAATAATCTCTACACCCAACACGTGGCTCAAACTCACACCCCTGAAATCACCAATCGCATACCCTGCTGACTGAGCCAGCCAGGCGCCCCCACATGCGTTAGTTTGAATCTGCACAGCAAGCTGGCAGTCTCTCCTTGGCTGTCCTGCCCACCGCTCCCTTTCACTCTACTCCCTGAACTTCTGCCTCCTTTGGGGGGACAAATCTGCACAGCAATGCTAGGGATTAGGTACCGTTATTATCCCCGTGTGTATAGACAAGGAAACAGGCCCACGAAGACTACGTACCCACCCTCAGGCCGTGAGCAGGAGTCGGTCTGGCTCCAGAGCCCAGACCCTTCGCTGCTGTGCCCCACTGGCTGGGAAGGGAGCGGAGGGAGAGGAGGAGGACCCTGAGAACAGTGAGAGCAGCACGGAAGACAAGGAAGTAGTGTTTCCGGTGAGGCAGGGTCAGTGTCGGGGAGCTGGGCCGTCAACCCTGAACGCGGTGGTATCAGGCTTGGGCTGGTGGAGACCCCGCCACGGGGGGTGGCTGCGCTGCCGAGGTTCAAGGAGCGCCTGCGGAGATGAGCAAATGGAGACGGCAGGAGTGCCGAGTCTGCTGAGAGAGGAAGGGGGTGAGCAGTTATGTGACACAGGCTCGTTTTTAGTTGGGGAACCCGAGGTTGCACGTGGCATGGGAAAAACCCAAGGTGAAGTTGAAGACACGGGAGCGTGGGGGTATAGAGGGAGCGGAGTTCCAGGTAAGAGCGTTTAATTGACCACTATGTGCCCCCGACCCGTTCATTTGCTGCCGTATCCCCACTTTCTTACCCGAACCGAGAAGGCAAATCCTTCTAAATTTTCTTTGGAAACTCTTGTTTCTTGGTCCATTGATGCCAGGATTTACCTTCAGCTCTTTTCATGCTAGAACTCTCCCAGCAGTCTTACTCATCGGTGTTGAAAAATCCCAAATACTCCAGCCTAAAATCTTGGCCACCCAGGTCCCTCCGTCCAACTGATGTCTTGACATCTTTTATCTTACAGACACTTCATACGCTGCATGTCTGCAACTAGACTCATCTGGGGTTGCTTCAATTACAAATGCCTTCCCTACACCTCCGCCCCCCCACCCTCTGCCAAAATCTTCTGTAGCCCCTCAAGACTTCTCTGGCTCAGTTCCTCCCTGTTACAGTACTTGCTAAGTACACTGTAGCAGCCATGAACACCTGTCATCCTTACTTAAATGTAAACCAGAGGGCAGAGTTTATAACCTCAATCACAATTATGTCCTCTGTCTAGTGAAAAATGAGCTGTAGACTATGGCATTAAAAGTACATGTAAGGGGTTGACGCCTTGAAAAGGAGGAAAGAGCACATTATTCCCTGGGACTGGACTGATGGAGGTGAGAACGGATGCCCATTCAGACTTATTTGTAGGTTACGTGGGAAGATGAAGCTGGTGGGGACCCATTTTCACCATAAAGTAGGAAGTAAGATGTTTCACTGAGAATGAGGGCAAGGGGCTTAGTCTGGGGCTTGAAGAGAGTAATGAAGTAATCATCAGGCCAGGTGAGGGTAACCAGGAGGAAAGAGCCCCCCCCCCCCCGATAGGGTGAAGCCTGCCGTGGACCCCTTGCATGTAATTTCTAACCCACTACTCAAACCGTTCCAGATTTTGGATGTCTTTCCCATTCACTGCAGTGATGGGTTTCTTCAGGATGACTTAGGGATAGAAACCACTAGTTTTACCTGGAAGCTGTTAAAGTTATTTCGTTTGCCTACAGTTAAAAATAGTGGGATCTAGGGATGCCTGGGTGGCTCAGTCAGTTGGGCGTCTGCCTTCGGCTCAGGTCATGATCCCGGGGTCCTGGGATCGAGTCCCATGTCGGGCTCGTTGCTCACAGGGAGCCTGCTCCTCCCTCTGCCCCTGCTTGTGCTGACGAATGAATAAAATATTAAAAAAAAAAAATAGTGGGATCTAAAATCAGAATCCTAGTCTGGGACCTAAAATGATACCTTGCATATCTCCCGGTTTACTTCATCTTGTAGTCCCCAATATTTAACATGTGGAATAAAAATGGAGATAAAACTCTTGTGCTTTATTTTTTTAGACTGAAAATGCCCATATTTCTTTGAATAATAAAAATGGAAATATGCTCATTTGAAAGTTCTGTTATGAACGCGACTAAGTTGTGAATTAAAAATTCCTTCTTTAGGTTGGCAGATTATGATAATAAAATCATGGTAACTTTTCAACAAAAGAATTTTCTAAACACTACTTTCTTACCAAACAGGTGCGACTGACCCACTTAAGAGCACAGTACTTTCATTAACCATTACAGACACATGTGCACATACATACATGGATTCTAAGATAAAAGTGAAATTCCATTTTTATGAGTAGTGGTGACACACCTTTATAAAATGGGAATTTGGGTCCTGTGATGGCACTGAGAAGCAAAATACTCAAAACAGCTGGACGGAAGGAAGGAGTAGCTAAGAAACACTTGAACGCCTTTTCCTTGGGAGGAGAGTCATCCAATAACTGCACTCATGCAAAACAAAGGCGGTCCGGCTGGCTCCAGAGGATGTGCATGCCCCAGGCAGTAGTCTTCCAGAGTAACCTTTGCCATTGACAACATGCTGCAGTGACCGTAAATGTAAATATCCTATCTTTTTCTAAGACAGCCATACCCCATTTTTTTTTCAAAAGTATCACTACAGGTGGCCATGGTTTACACTGTGAATAGTCTTCTGTAAAAGCAAGCATCTGTTTATTAAAACAGCCCAAGTATTACTCTAGCAGAAGGTACTACTACCGCTAAGTTCCCTGTACTAGATGTAGTCCAGCAGTTCTTTTATTATTTTATTAATAATAAATATATTTGATGACATCCTATGCTTCAACCGATTTCTCAGCTAAGGACTGAAGCAGATCTTTATAGAGGGCAGAGTTCATGAACCGGGGATAGGAGTCTCTGTGCATTAAGGTATAGATCTGGAGTTGTGCATCATCAAATATGTGTTGGGATGGCTCCACCATGTTCCTGTTGATGACTTCTCTTACTCGGGAGTCCAAGCTGACCTGTCAGTAGACACACATAAGAGTGGTATTAGACGTATTTCTTTTTGGAAATCCACCCCCAACGCACCATGGCTTGTTCTGTTTTTTAAAAATCCCAAACCAAACAAAGTCATCCAGAAATCTAAATTGCTGAAAAAGAAACAACACATAATGAACAGGGGGTTCTCAAATTTCAGCAGTGTCAGAAGGCCCTGGAATGCCTGTTAAACAGATTGCTGGCCCCCACCTGCAGAGTTTCCTACTCGGTGGGTCTGGGGAGGGGCCTGAAAATGTGTATTTGTCACAAGTTCTAGGTAGTGCTGGTGGGGATCACACTGCTTTAAGAAAACCACAACATTATTTTCTTTCTTTAAAATGATTTTACTGTGTCCTTTGAAGAAAAAAGTAGCATGCACAGACTTACCCCTTGCTAATTTCCTAATAGCATTAGGGCTAAACCCCGGAGGTCCCAGGCTGTAGCCAGTTAGAACACAGTCGCAGATTTCTGGGAATGAGCGTCAGGCTGGCTGGTGAGTGGACGCTAACTCAGAGCACCATGGAAGAGTTAAGAGCACAGGGCCCGTGTTTAAGTCCCAGCTATGTCACTGCTTAGTTGTGGGGCTTGGGGCAAAAAGCAAGCTGCACCCTAATGAACTCCTCCATAAAGGGGATAATGGAGATGGTAGTTGGTGGGGATTTAATGAGAATTAAAGTCCTTGGAGTTCATTAAGTTCCTTAAGAAGAAGTTGGCTTTTTTTCTCTGATGTTTTGCTCATCCTAGAAAAGGCTGTCTCAGACCAGAGCAAGCTCCTGGGCTCAGACTCTTCCTGTAGGATGCCAGATAAACAAGACTACAGGCTGCAGAGATGCACACACAGACATCTTCTCTTCTGTGCAAAGAACCTTAGCCGGACCAGCTCGGCCCCAGGAGGCCATGACAGTGTCGATGCTATACAATGCACACACTCTTCTTTCGTATAAACCTGAAAATATGACTAGCTATATCAGTAAATATTGACTTCAGTGACCTATCTTTCCAGATGCATATACCCACTTTCCTCCCGGAAAGCTCCTTGTGCCCACACACAGGTAACTCAATACAGTTGACCTTGAACAACATGCATTTGTATTGCATGGGTCCACTCATAGTGGATTTTTTTTTTTAATAAATACTGTAAGTGAATTTTTCTCTTACGATTTCGGAGTAACAATTCTTTTCTGTAACTTTATTGTAAGAATACAGTACAGAATACATATACAAAGCACGTGTTAATCGACGGTTGATGTCAGTAAGGCTTCTGGTCAACAGTAAGCTTTTTTTTTTTTTTTAAAGATTTTATTTATTTTTTGACAGAGAGAGACACAGCAAGAGAGGGAACACAAGGAGGGGGAGTGGAAGAGGGAGAAGCAGGCTTCCCACTGAGCAGGGAGCCCGATGCGGGGCTCCATCCCAGGACCCTGGGATCATGGCCTCAGCCGAAGGCAGAAGCTTAACGACTGAGCCACCCAGGCACCCCTGCAGTAAGCTCTTAGTAGTTAAGTTTCCAGGGAGTCAAAGTTATACGTAGACTATCGACTGTGTGGGGTCAGTGCCAGCAACCCCGTGCTGTTCAAAGGCTAACTCTACATTCAACACAGATTGCATCTCCAGATCTCTTTCTTGTGTAGCTTGTGAAGCAAGAGAACTATTTATTTCCATCCAATTCCAAGTCCTTCTCATCCTTCCTTTTCCCTCTGGCTCTGTAGTCAGTCACAGAGTCTCGGGGACCCTGCCTCTTTAACCCCTCTCAGGTCTCTCCACCTCGTCCCTCTTCTCTGCCAAGATTGGTTCACTGGCCTCCTAACTGGTCTCCTGCCTCCTGAGTGCCCCTCCAAATCGCCCCACTAGTTGGTCAGAGGGCTCTTTCTAAAGTACAAACGCCATTCTGACACTCCAAGTTCAGACCTGGCACTGACTTGGCCATGCACTCAGGGTAAGTCCAAAGTTTAAATTTAGGAGGTCTTTATGATCTGCTTCCATGAATAACCCTGGTCTACCTTACTATTCCACTCAAGAATGTAAAGAATTTGGAATTCTGCTTGGAATTTAAAGAAAGAAGGAGCTAGGGTTGCCTGGGTGCCGCAGTCAGTTGAACTTCTGACTCTTGGTTTTGGCTCAGGTCATGATCTCAGGGTCGTGAGATTGAGCCCCGTGTCGGACTCCATGCTTAGCAGGGAGTCTGCTGGAAATTCTCTCTCTCTCTCTCTCTCTCTCTCTCCCTCTGCCCCTCCCCCCACTCACTCGTACCATCTCTCTCAAATAAATAAATCTTCAAAAAATGTAAGAAAGGAGCTTGGTTTTGAGATCACCCTGACCCCACAGATTTTAGATTTGAAGGAACAAAAACTAGGGGATGGAAGCTTGACTGATAGCCCCCGACAGTCTCTCTGCTCTAAGGGAAGGACACCCCAGGTAAAACCTCTGTGTTATATTAGCGAGGCTATTTCTATTCAAATAAAAATACCTGTAAAAAATATTGGTGCTCAGAATAAAAGGATGATTTTATTTAAAGAAATGCTTTCAGGGTATAATGTTTTTTGTTTTTTTAAGATTTATTTATTTATTTATTTGACACAGAGAGAGACAGCTAGAGAGGGAACACAAGCAGGGGGAGCGGGAGAGGGAGAAGCAGGCTCCTGGCTGAGCAGGAAGCCCGATGCGGGGCTCCATCCCAGGCCCCTGGGATCATGACCTGAGCCGAAGGCAGAAGCTTAACGACTGAGCCACCCAGGCGCCCCGGGTATAATGTTTTTAAACGGTGTTTACAGTAAAATGCATAGACTCCCCCTTCTGGAGAATCTGGTGAAAGTCAGGAATACTTTCTCCAGAAAGAGGCACAAAAGCTTTCACAGATTTCAGGGGCCACTGAGAGCCCGCTTGTAGGACCACAGTCCCCGGCATCTGGATACTACGAGTGCGGGTGGAGTGGTCATCTCTGTCTTGGAATAGCTGTCACTGTGCCCGGGTGACCCAACACTGACGGGGTTCACTTACCAACAGCCTCCTGGGAGGAAGCCCCTTGCGGGGTACGTACCTCTTTAGGAGAAAGAATAGAAATGTAGTCTTCATAGATTATCCTTGCTTTCTCTTCAATGATGGTTTTATTAGCTTCTTTTTTCAGTTCCTCACATGCCATCCAGAAAAGCATATTTTCTTCACTGAATTCTGTCCGGAGGAATTCCCGGAAAGCATTCCTTCCCGCTGGAGTGAGCATTACCTTGTCGAAGGACTGAGCCCAGGCGTTGACCTCCTCCAGAGTGGGACTTGGGCTGAGTGGAGACAGAAAGGAAGGGGCCAGAGGGAGCTAGGTTATTGGTAATTACTTTGCATTTCCTCACTAGAAACAAACCCTTTTCCCTTCCGAGGATGAAAATGTGCACCTCGGCCCTTTTAGGAAGGGAGAGGGCTGTGCCCATTTCCATCGGCCTTTGGCAAAAACACACAAGTGCGACCCCTTCAGGTTGTTTAGCTGGAGTGCATGGCTGCTGGCCAAATGCTCGCAGGCCGATCTCTAGAAGAACTGCCAAGAGCGTACTTGTTCACATCTTGATGAGTCCTGGCAAAGCTTTACAACTGTAACAGTGAAGAAAAATCCTAGAAGCATCTGACCAAGACTTCCCAGTCACTGTGACAGAAGTACGTCAGACCTCAGCACACCACCTTGCAGAGCAGCCATGCGGCTGTGGAAAGATTATGTTATATAACTGCAAGCTATAAAGGGTGATAACAAACACACATTATAGTTCAGCACTCACCGTGGTCCCATGGCCGCACCCTGCTCTCCTGACTCCCCCACCCTGAGGCACTGCTCGGCTTGACTTTGGATTCACCCTGGTTTAGTTTATTTTTACTTATATTTTAATTATATTGAGGTCAGAAAGCTTCGTCTGTCCAACAATGATCCCTATTAAATAATTTCTTTCCCCCTACCTTTCTTTTCATTGTTTTTATGTAGGTAGGTATCCCTGAAGAGTATCTATCCTTCAGTGGTTTTTTTTTTTCTTCACTTTATAAAAATGGCTGACTCCATGTTGTCTTCTGCCACTTGCTTTCATCACCCAACACTAAGTGTCTAAGAGCCCACGTGGCTGTATGTGGCCAGAGTTCCTGAGCACGCAGGATTTATCTCCAACTTTCCATTCTTGTACTATCCTCATCTGGTTTTGGTATCCCTGTTGACTTGATTTCTTAGACATCTGGGTAGTTATACACGAACTGTATAACCTTGGAATGATTAATTCCAGAACTGCTTTGTGGAACCAATCTGTAAAACCCATTGGATCTAGTGTTTATTTTGTAGGAGGGTATTGTGAGTTGAATAATGTCCCCTAAAAAAGATATGTTGATGTCCTAACTCTAGTACCTCAGAATGTGACTAGATTTGGAAATAGAGTCTTTGTAGATTTAACTAAGTTAAGATGAGGTGATTAAGATGAGCCCTCATCCAGTAGGACTGATACTCTCCTTTTTTTAAAGATTTTATTTATTTATTTGACACAGAGAGTTAGTGAGAGAGGGAACACAAGCAGGGGGAGTGGGAGAGGGACAAACAGACTCCCCGCTGAGCAGGGAGCCCGATGTGGGGCTCTATCCCAGGACCATGAGATCATGACCTGAGCAGAAGGCAGCCACTCAACCGACTGAGCCACCCAGGCACCCCTAGGACTGATATTCTTTTTTTTTTTTAACAGTTTTTTTTTAAGATTTTATTTATTTATTTGACAGAGAGAGACACAGTGAGAGAAGGAACACAAGCAGGGGGAGTGGGAAAGGGAGAAGCAGGCTTCGTGCAGAGCAGGGAGCCCGATGTGGGGCTCGATCCCAGGACCCCGGGATCATGACCTGAGCCGAAGGCAGACGCTTAACGACTGAGCCACCCAGGCGCCCCAGGACTGATATTCTTATTCAAGAGGAATCTGGGGGCCCTGGGTAGCTCAGTCGGTTAAGCGTCTGCCTTGGGCTCAGGTCATGATCCCGGGGTGCCCAAGGTCCCACTGGCAGGATGGTTAGAGTCAGGCCTCAATGAGGCATTCTGGTTTCAGATATTAGAACCTCAAAGCTTTAGTACAGAATACAACATACCGGAATATATAAGATAAAAGCCATTTTTAAAAATAATTATTTTTTTCAGTAATCTCCACACCCAACATGGGGCTTGAACTCACAACCCTGAGATCAAGAGTTGCATGCTCTTCCAATTGAGCCAGCCAGGTGCCTCAAGATAAAAGCTATTTAAAAATTTTTTTAAGTTTTTTATTTATTTGAGATTTATTTATTTATTTGAGAGAGAGAGAGAGTTGGGGGAGGAGCAGAGGGAGAAGCAGACTCCCCACCACGACCTGAGCCTAAGGCAGATGCTTAACCCACTGAGCCACCTAGATGCCCCTTGATAAAGGCTATTTTTAAACAAGCGCATAAACTGTGGAAGATTTTTAAAAAGTTTTTACTTATTTTTTTTTTAGAAATCTCTACACCCAACATGGGGCTTGAACTCATGACCCTGAGGATCAAGAGTCTCATGCTCCTCCAATGGAGTACGCCAGGCGCCCCAAATTGTGGAAGATTTTAATATGCTTCCCAGACTTTGAAAAATCTTGGTAAGGATAAATAAGATAAAGAATGAAAAAGAAACTCTTAAGGGCGCCTGGGTGGCTCAGTTGGTTAAGCGACTGCCTTTGGCTCAGGTCATGATCCTGGAGTCTCAGGATTGAGTCCCACATCAGGCTCCCTGGCTCAGCAGGGAGTCTGCTTCTCCCTCTGACCCTCGCCCCCCTCATGCTCTCTCTCTCATTCTCTCTCTCTCTCAAATAAATAAATAAAATCTTAAAAAAAAAAACACTTAAGTAGCCTTTTAGGCTACTTGTTTTTTTCCCTTCAAAAATTAGCAATTTAATACTAGGCCTATTTGAACAATGTTTTTAGGATATTTGTCCAGTATCTGTAATTATATAGGTATAATACCAAGAAAAGGTATTTAGAATAGGTAAGTGAAAGTAAGCCAACTGATAATGCAGGAACAAAAAAGAGATAATTTTAAAATCCGACATTATGGGGCACCTGGGTGGCTCAGATGGTTAAGCGTCTGCCTCCGGCTCAGGTCATGATCTCAGGGTCCTGGGATCGAGTCCCACATTGGGCTCCTTGCTCAGCGGGGAGCCTGCTTAAAGCAAGGAGGCTGCTTCTCCCTCTGCCTGCCACTCCCCCTGCTTGTACTCTCCCTCTCTCTCTGGCAAATAAATAAATAAAATCTTTAAAAAAAAAAATCTGACATTATGGAAAGTAATTTATGTGTTTTCTTCCCAACTTTTTTCCCCCAAAATACTTAAATTAAGACAATACATTAGCTAAAGTATATAGTTAAGAAAAAAATGGACTTTTAAAACTTTCTGAAAACCAAACATGTATGTTTCATTATGGTCTTTTATTTTAAAAAATTCTATCATATGAAAATAGGATAATGCCATATTTTGTCAGGAAGCCTCAATTTATATTTGTGATTAGCGGGCATGAAATTAATAATGAAACTAATTTTTCTCCCTGTCACACAATGAACTCTACAGAGTGGAAAGGGGGTGCCACATTATTATTTGATATTAAACTGCAGTTAGAGAAACTGTGTTACAATGATGAAAAATCAAAACAATAAGGCTGGCATTTCTGTCAATTTAGTGAGCTAAACAACGAGATTTACCTTTCTTCACAGGTTGGAAGGTCTTCTCGTCTGAGTTCATGCGAGGGCCTCCTGGGTCTCTGTTCTTCTTGGTTTCTAACAGTAAGACTGCATGAAACAAGACATTTACATGTCAGTTGAGATCATTCTGCATTAAGGAATATTTTAAAGGGAACTCCAGATTACCGAGTAGAATTTCTTTCTTTTCTTGAAAAAAATTGATCTTGACTGGTTTTCTTAAGAAAACCAAAATTAGGGCTCCTGGGTGGCTCAGTCAGTTAAGCGTCTGCCTTCAGCTCAGCTCATGATCTCGGGGTCCTGGGATGGAGCCCCGCTGGGCTGTCTACTCAGTAGGGAGTCTGCTTCTCCCTCTCTCTCTGCCCCCAACTCTTGCTCACTCTCAAATAAATAAATAAACAAAAGAAAACCAAAAGTATGATGCTAAAATATTAGCAAAATAAATTATAATACTGTGGTCTACACTAGTTGAGAGAGAGTTTACATTTAGATTAATAGCTTTTTAAAGATTTTACTTATTTGAGAGAGAGAGCAAGAGAGCACAAGCAGGGGGAGCAGCAGGCAGAGGGAGAAGCAGGCTCCCCCCTGAGCAGACAGCCCGATGCTGGGATCGAGCCAAGGACCCTGGGATCATGACCTGAGCTGAAGGCAGACGCTTAACCGTCTGAGCCACCCAGGTGCCCCTGGGTTATTTGCACTTTTTGGCTGTTATAAATAATTCTGCAGTGCATGTTCATGTACAAGTTTTTTTCTGTGGATGTTTGTTTTTATTTCTCTTGGGTAGACACTTAGGAGTGGAAATGCTTTCCCGTGGTAACTCTATTTTTAGCATTTTGAGGAAGTCGCAAACTGTGTTCCAAAGCAGCCGCGCCGTTTTATATTCCTAACCAGCAGTGCTGGAGGGACTCAGTTTCTCCACATCCTTGCCAACGCTTGTTAGTGTCTCTCTTTTTTATTCTCACCGTCTCAGGGGGTAAGAGGTAGTACCTCACTGTGGTTTTGACTTGCATTTTGCTAATGGCTAATGAGATGGGAGTATTTTTTCATGTATTTATTAGCTCTATGTCTTCTTTGGAGACCTGTCTACTCAGATCTTTTGCCTCCCTTTATTTATTTATTTAACGATTTTATTTATTTGACAGAGAGCGCGAGCACAAGCACAAGCAGTGGGAGTGGTAGGCAGAGTGAAGGAGAAGCAGGCTTCGTGGGACCGTGACCTGAGCCGAAGGCAGATGCATAACCGACACAGCCACCCAGGTGCCCCCTTTTACTTTTTATTTTTATCTAAATGTCTTTTTAAAATTTTTAAAAAAGATTTTATTTATTTGAGAGAGAGAGAGACAGAGATAGCAAGAGGGAGGAGAGGGAGAAGCAGGCTCTCCACAGAGCAGAGAGCCCGATGCGGGACTCGATCCCAGGACCCCGGGATCATGACCTGAGCCAAAGGCAGATGCTTAATGACTGAGCCACCCAGGCGCCCCTAAATGTGTGTGTGTGTGTGTGTGTGTGTTTTAAAGATATATCTATTTATTTTAGAGAGAGCAAGCGGGGGGCGGGCAGAAGGAGAGGGAGAGAGGATCTTAAGCACACTCCCTGCTGAGCGCAGAGTCCAACTTGGGGTTCGATCTCACAACCCTGAGATCATGACCTGAGCCGAAATCAAGAATTGGATCCTCCACTGACTGAGCCATCCAGGCGTCCCTCTTTTGCCTACTTATAAATTGGTTCGTCTTTTTATTTTTGAGTTATAAGAGTTCTTTATATTCTTTTTTTTTAAAGGTTTTATTTATTTATTTGACAGAGAGAGACAGCGAGAGAGGGAACACAAGCAGGGGGAGTGGGAAAGGGAGAAGGCGGCTTCCCGCTGAGCAGGGAGCCCGATGTGGGGCTCGATCCCAGGACCCTGGGATCATGACCTGAGCTGAAGGCAGATGCTTAATGACTGAGCCACCCAGGTGCCTGAGTTCTTTATATTCTGAAGGCTATTCTTTTACACCAATTCTGTATCTTTCTTCCTTTTGAATTATTTTGTGTTTGCATTAGTTTAGCAACCATTCTCTTGGGATTTCCAGGTATAATCTCCTATCTTCTGCAGATAGGGAGAGTCTTAACACTTCTCTTCTGATTCTTAGGCCTCACATTGTTTTCTCTTGTCCAGCTGCATCAACTGATAGCTAAAATACAATGTTAGACAGTAGGGGAAAGCATAGACATCCTTGCCTTGTTCTTGCTTTCAGGAGGAATGCTTTTAGTTCCCCACTGATTTCAAAATGGACTTTTTTGTATTGGTTATTTGAGTTCGCTTTATCTGACTATTGCTCCTGTACTCTTCTATTTCTTTTATTATAGCTTTCCTCTCCACTCTTTCCACCATTTTAGAAGAGTAATTCAGCCTAGTTTTAGCACGTTTGCTTTATGGATTTTCAGTAATTGTGCATGTGTGTGTGCAGCTCTGTTTCTCCGTAATGCAAAGTCATTAGAAATGCAGGAACTCTTCTGACTTGTTGCTTTCATGATGCCAGTTTCAGTAAATAATGGTTTCTTGAAACAAAAATAACTTAAGAGGCATCTGGAGGGTGTTCTCACTGCAGGAGCATTAATACTGCCTGACTTCTCAGGCTTCTTTTGTAAGCAAAAAACATCAGTACACAATGGGTATGAAAAATCAAAGAGAAAAAGAAAGGATGAATTTGACACAAGATTCTAAGAGAACTGGAAATTACATTGTGAATTAAATAATACAATCTTTATTTAAGCTTTGACATTTTTCCATGTCTTATTTTTTAAAAGAATATTTCTCAATGAGGTAATGTGTTCTTAAAAAAAGCGAAAAATATATTTTGTGTCAATTTTTTAACCTGAGTGTCTTGTTATTATTACAGTAGAAGAAGAAAAGGTTGCTGGAAGCTAAAATAGTTGCTCACCATGTTTAAGAGCTAGTCAGTAAAAGGAGCCCCATAGTTAGATATATTTTGGTAAATTTCTGAGCTACAAAGAGGAAAAAATTCTTCAATCTTCTAGAAAGGAAAAAAAGTTTATTTTTAAGAAATTCAGCATCAGCATGACTTCTTTGATAAAACGAAATGCCAGAAGGCCATGAAGCAGAATTTTGAGAAAGATAATACAAGGGCTTAGAAAACATATTTCCTTTTTCTTTTCTTAAAAATTGCCTCTACTATGTATTATCAACACGGATAAGTCTCAAAAGCATGCTGAGGAAAAAAAAATCAAGGAGGTTATACATTGAAACAGTTAAAAGTTTGCTGTGTGTCTTTTTTTAAAGATTTTATTTATTCATGAGAAACAGAGAGAGAGAGACAGAGAGACAGAGAGACAGAAAGAGAGGCAGAGGGAGAAGCAGGCTCACTAGGGAGCCCAAGTGAGACTCAATCCCAGGACCCTGGGATGATGACCTGAGCTGAAAGCAGATGCCTAACCGACTGAACCACCCAGGCGCCGTGTACCTTTTTTTTTTTTTTAAGATCTTATTTACTTTTTTATTTGAGAGAGAGGGCGGGGACGGGGAGAGGGGAGAGAGAATTCCAAGCGGACTCCACACTGAGCATGGAGCCCGACTCGGAGCTCGATCCTACAATCCTGAGATCATGACCGGAACCCAAATCAACAGTTGGATGCTTAACCAACGGAGCCACCCAGGTGCCCCACAATTTTTTTCTCCTCCAGTACATGCATTTAAATGCTGTATGGTATTGCATTGTATAACTACACTGCAATATATTTATCCATTCTCTGTTCATGAACTTTAGAGATATTTTCCATTTTTCTCAATCAGATTAATGCTTCAGTGAATCCTCTCATACAGGTCTCCTTTTGCCTATGTGCAAGAGGTTTTTTTTACGGTAGAGTATTGTATTTAGAAGGCTATATATTTAGCTTTCACATATCCGATCCTTGTTGGTAGGAGCACAAGTGGATTATGTTTTGTTTCATTTGTTTATTTTTCTTTTGGTTATTATATTCTTGTAAGTTCTTTCTTTATATGTTCTAGGTTTATGTTGTTTGCTAAATGCCTTGTAATTATCTTCTCCCAGTATGTTCTATCTGTTCATTTTACTTCTGATCCTTTGTTAAACACATTTTTAAAAGTTTTATTCAGATATAATTTGCACACCATAAACTCACAACTTAAATGGTGCAAGTCAACGGTTTTAGTTTATTCATACAGTTGTGCAACCATCACCATGATTTTAGAATAGTTTATCACTGCAAAATGAAACTGTACACATCAGCACCCATCCCCTAGGCCTAGGGAACTGCTCATCTACTTTCTGTCTCTGTGACTGTGAATTTATCTGTTCTAGACATTTCACATAAATGGAATCATACAGTATATGTTCTTTGGTGTCTGTCTCCTTTCACTTAGCATCATCTTTTCAAAGTTCATCCATGTTTTAGTAGTTTCAATACTTCACACCTTTTATGGTCAAATCATTTTCCACTGTATGGATATACCACATTTTGTTCATCCATTCATCAGTTGATAGACATTTGGGTTGCTTCTACTTTTTGGCTAGTATTAATCACACTGCTATAAATATTCATGGATAAGTCTTTGTGTAGAATATGTTTCTATTTCTCTTGTTAGACACATTTTTATATTTTAATGTAGTCAGATTTATGAATCTTTTTAAAAAGTAGTTCTTCCCAATACCAAGATCAGAAAGATATATTCCGTATTTTATTCTTGGCTACCACATTTAGGGCTTTAAACCATCTGGAATTGATCTTGGTTTTTTTTTTTTTAAGGGAGAGACTGGGTTTTGCATGAGCTGCAATATAGGAATAGAAGTATTTTTGTGGATTTGGATACCAGGTAGGGTGACCAACTTTCCTGGTTTGCCTGGGACTCATGGGTTTTCTGGGGCATAGGACTTTTCAGTGCTAAAACCAAGATAGTCCCAGGAAGCTGGGATGAGCTGGTCACCCTAATACCAGGTTATCTTGGTATTTATAAAATAGTTAATTCTCTCTTTTCTTAAAATCACCTTTGTCCTATGTTGATAGTTGTCTATATTTCTTTCTTTCTTTTTAGTTCTCTATATTTCTTTTACTGTCTTCCATCAATGTGGAAACTGTTATACTTCTGACTAATCAAGAATACCATTAATTTGGAAAGAAAATGTAATTTTTTTTTCCTAAAGTCTGAAGTTACCTGTCTACCATGAACATGAGATTATTTTCTTACAATGTTGGATTCTTTTTAAAATTAAATATGATGTTTTATAGCTATATTTGATCAGTTTTGTGTCCATGATTGTTACTTGTTTCCCATGACGTGTCCTCTGGGTTCACTTTTTCTTCCTGAAGTACACCCTTTCTTGTTCTTTTAGGGTAGGTCTGAAGACAGTTAGCTCTCTTGGCCTTTGTATGTCTGAAAATGTCTTGTTTTACCCCCAACTCTTGAATTATAGTTTGACTAAGTTTTCCATTACTTTTCTCCAGTTCTTTGAAGACATTGCTCCATTGTATTCTTTTAATTGAAGCATAATGAACATACAGTGTTATATGAGTTTCAGTGTACAATATAACAATTCAACATTGTTTCTCATTGCTCTATTGTCTGTTAAGTACACACAAAATATGTGCTGCAGGAGTGTTGGCTATGATGATGATGATGTCTAAGCACAGCTCCGTAATTTATTCACCCTAGTTGGTGCCAGTAGAAGGAGCCTGCTCTGGAAACAGCAGGCCACCATCTGCTATGCTCACACCATCGGTGCAGCACATTGTTCAGGCCACGATCTCGGCCTCCTGTGTCCCTCTGAGGCAGCAGAGAAGGGAGGGTGACGGGGTCAACAGGAGTCTCCCCACACCAGGATATCTCTGCCCATCTCTCACACAATCACCTCTAATTACCTCACTGAAACTGATTAGCGGAGTGAAGGACTGGAAGAGGGGCTGAAATGAAACCCCGTCATCACTGGTGGGTATCCTCCCGGTCTAGGGAGGGTCCTGGACACCCACGTGTGTACGGTGTGCAAACATGGGCCTCTCCTCCGGACTCCTGCCGAGTCCTTTAGATGCCTACTCGGGGCTGAAGCCTTGCTGGAGTGCCAGACCGCTTGGCTCCTGCCGGCCCCACGTCCCTCATATTCCCACTTGCCATCTGGGGTTTTGCTCTGAACAGGCCAAGCACCCACCACCATGACTCCATCAGGCCTCAGAGTGTGGTACTGCTGGGTCCCATCCACTGGATGGGAACTTCTTGGAAGTTAACACTAGCTCAAATCAAGCAAGAGACCAAATTTTCCTGGACATTTAATGTCAGCCTCCACCTGCTTCGCCCCAATGATAACAGTCCTGTCACTGTTTTTGATAGCTGTACTATCACTTGGTCAACTTCTCTTCTGGGGAGTGAGGTCTTGGTCCAACTTGTGGTCAAGACTACATAAACATACAATATTTTAGTTGCCTAAAGTTAGGCACACATTTGGTGGGCATAAGCACTTCTTGTAGCCAAGATTTCAGAAATGCCACCTAACGTTCCTATGATTTCTAGGTGTAAACTCTATACATTCCTCCAGACCTTTGACAGTGACTCAAATGGTCGAGGATATTTTCCATTCAAGTTGTGTATCTCTCTTTTGAAGCAAAGACTGTGTATCTTACTGTACACCAGTAAGTTAGCCTATATTTTTATATTCTTCTGGTAAGCATTTATTTTGACATTTCTCTTTATGAAAACATGAAATTCATGAAAGAAAAGAAGATAAAATCCAGGCGCCCTCTACTTAACCTTAACCTTTAAGACCCACCTTAAATTCTAACTCCTCTTTTACAAAGCCTTTATTACCAAGTAGACTGCCTTGAGTTCACTCCTTTCTAACCATCTAGTTATTGTTTCTGCCCAAATATTAATATTTGATCACCAGCGGCCTTAGACTATTCTTTAGTTGTTTAACACACTAACCTGATTTCAGGGATTTGAATAGAAATCCCTTGAGCTGGAATACAGAGCCCCTTCGTGTGTGTGTGTGTGTGTTTGTTGTCCTTCACAGATCCCAAATCAGTGTCAGGCATATAGTAGTTGTTTAAAAATATGTATGGGGCCACCTGGGTGGCTCAGTCAGTTAAGTGTCCAACTCGTGCTTTCAGCTCAGGTCATGATTTCAGGGTCGTGAGTTTGAGCCCCACATTGGGATCCACACTCAGCACGGAGTCTGCTTGAGATTCTCTCTCCCTCTCCCTCTGCTCTTCCCACTCGTACTCTCTCCCTCTCTCAAATAAATAAATATTTAAAAAAGAACCAAAAATGCCTCGAGAGTTAATCATAAGCTGGCACTACTCAGGGACACCGTTTGCCCGTCAGGAGGGCATGATGGGGAAAAGGCCCGACCTTACCAGGAACAGCTGCAGCAGCAGCACCAGCAGAAGCAGCAGGTGTTGGACCCGCGGTCCCCCGCCCCGGGCTGGCCTGGCGTGGAGCTCGTGGTCTCCTGGGCTGCAGGCATCTGCCGTTTCCGCATCTCCGTCTGCTCAGATCTCATGGGCTGCAACCGTGCAAGCAAAAGGGGGGCCAGTTACCACCACACAAGGCCAGAGAGTCAGTTGTCTGGATCGCTGAACAGGCACAATTATGACTCTCTCCAGGTCATTTCTGAGAATTCTGGCAAAATTTGGTGCTTATCATCCATTTCTAGAGCCAACATTTCCTGTTTAGCATCTGCCAATCACTGAATAAAAGGACGAATGGCGGGGTCTAAGGTGCTTGCAGGTCAGGAGAGGACTCAAATACTGACATCACCTACAGAAGGCCATGGCAGTGGCAGCTACTATGAGGGCATTTTGCAGCCCTGATGTCCCCTCTGGGCTGAACTGCCAGGGAGCAGTCCCAGGTGACAGCTGAGTTAGGGATGCCCACAAGGCATGACTGTGTGAGCACTTGGGACAGAGCACTCATGTGGGAGGAAGCCAGGCCAAGATGGCAGGCATGCTAACAAGGCAGTAAGAGGAAACGTCCCAAGAGGGAGGACGGAAGTCCTGGGAGGCCCTCAGGTTCTGAGACCCCACTGACTGACAGGTCCAAGCCTTAACTAGCTGTGAAACCTTGAAGAAGTTAGGCTGCTCCAATATGTGCAAAGCACCCAGATCCCCACCTGCTACTTAGTGTTGCTCAATTATTCCCAGGAAGCAAGGGAGGGCTGGGGACCCTGGCCTGTTCTGATCTGTCCTGCCATCTGCAGGGACAGTCCCCCTGGCCTGTCCCAGTGGACCACAAGCCATTGCAAACAAGGTCTACGCCCTTCAACCTCCCCTTTTTCTGAGAACCATGAGAATGGCTGAGGGAGAGAAGCATAAAAGCAACGTAAGAACGAGAAATTGCCGAGTGCACTTTTCTGTTTGATGCTGTCATTCAAATGTTGGTGAAGTAAAAGCAAAAAATACCAAAGCTTACATTAAAGAACCTTAAATAGGACTTTGGGATTAAATTCTGGATGTGTTCTTCTATTCCAGCAGTAAATTTATCTCTTCCTACTAATTCTTATATTCTACTGGACTTTTTTTTTTAAGATTTTGTTTATTTGTCAGAGAGAGAGAGAGAGAGCACGAGTCGGGGGGAGGGGGGGAGCGGTAGGCAGAGGGAGAAGCAGGCTCCTCGCTGAACAGGGAGCCCAATGTGGGAGTTGATCCCAGGACCCTAGGATCATGACCTGAGCCGAAGGCAGACACATAACTGACTGAGCCACTCAGGTGCCCCTGGAATTTGTTTTAATGATTATAGTTTTAGTATATGTTTTTATATTGGGTAGGTGAAGTTCTCTTCACAAATTAAAAAAAAATTGTTTTTGGCTGTTCATGTCTGTTTTCTCCTCCAGTTAAATTTTGGAATCAGTTTTTCTAGGTCCAGAAATACTATGTTGGGATTTTGAGTAGGACTACATTGAATTTATAGGTCTGTTTATGAGAAATGACATCCGTTTGAGTACCTGCCAAATCAGGATGAGTCCTCTGGAGTAGCCCTTTTAATTATCCCAGGATGTAGCTCCAGGAGTGCAAGAGAGACGCAGTCAAGTGTTTAGCGTCCTTTCATCCATAGCCGGAACAACGCTCACAACTCCCGTCCACAGTGCCCAGCCGGAGCAGTCCAGGATGCCCACACTGGGGTGGCTCACTTGTTCAAAGGGTGGAGACAGACATCTGTCCAGCTCACAGCCATGTTTTATGGGTACCACAGGGAGACAAGCCCCCTTTAATGCCCCCGGGGTGGAAACCTAGGGCTCCTCCAGGCATCTGTGCCATTGCAGCAGAGACACGATGGTTTCCCTTCATTCAGGACACTGAGGGGCAAGGACAAGCCAGCACAGGCTCCAAACAAAGGTGCTGGGAGCAGGACATGCCCCAAGCAATTATTTTCTAAGAGATACTGATGCAACTTGCCTCATTAACAAGAAAAAAAATCCCAATAGCTTCCCAGAAGGAAGGACTGTGATGTGGTAACGTCAACGGGTTTCAAGGGACTACTTTTCCAACATCTTTGCAACACTGGGTCTTCCCAATCAGTACATGAAATACGTGTTCACTGAGAGCCTCTCATCTGTAGATTTTAAAGACTTTCCTCAAACAGGTCTTGCACATTTTTGATAGGTTTATTTCTGAGTATTTTATGGATCCATTTTTGCGTTGTAAATACTTCCCTACTTCAAGTTTCTAAGTAGTTATTTTGGTGCACAGGAAGGCTAAGGGTACTCTATCTGGCCTCCCCGCTGACTTCTCTCATTAATTCTAGTAGTCTTTCTACTGATCCTCTTGGGTTTTCTAGGTGGATGATCATACGGTCTATAAATAGTCACACTTGTCGGTTTACTTTCTGTACCTTTCCAAGTCCAAGATGCTTCCTCGCCTTGGTCTTATTTCATTGGCCAAGAAGATCTGTAAATACTGAAAAGTAGCAGTACTTGTAGGTACCTTTGACTTCTTCATGACTTTAACGAGAAGACTGATGGCACTTTGCCCATATGTGTAATGTGTGCTGGAGGTTTCTGGAAGAAGACAGTTTTACGGAGTTAAGCATAATTTCTTCTATTAGTTACATAGTACAAAATAAGTTGTGCCTGCTTACCATTTATTTATTTTACCAAGAGATAGAGAGTACAAGTGGGGGGGAGGGGCAGAAGGAGCAGAGGAAAGACTCTCAAGCTGACTTGAGCTCAGTGTGGAGTCTGCTGCCGGGCTCGATCCCAGGACACCGAGATCATGACCTGAGTGAAACCAAGAGTCAGCTGCCCAACTGACTGAGCCACCCAGGTGCCACCCACCCCTCCTGCTTATCTTATTAGTTAACACATTTTATTTGCTTGTACACACCTCATGTTTGTAAATCCTGGGAAGACTTAATGATTTAGTGAGCAAACTCCTCTGAGAGAACATCGTAGGGTTGCTCATGACTAAAGACAGCCTTCAGAAATCAAAGGCAAATGACATCCAAGTCTGTTCTTACACATTTTTGAAAACGGCTCTATTAAGGTGGAACAAACATACAGTCTGCACATACTGTTTATAGGGCATAATTTGATAAATTCTGGCACGCACAGACCTGTGATACTACCACTACAATCATGACTGGATTATCCACCTCAAGCGTCCTCACACCCCTGAGGACTCCCTCCCACAGGCCCCCCTCATCTGCTCCTGCCTGTTTTCAACAATCACTGATCTACTTTCTCCCACCATCTGTTAATTTGCATTTTTTAAAAATTTTATACAAATGGAATCTTTTTTGTCTGGCTTCCTTCACTCAGCCTGATTATTTCACGATGGTTATGTATATCATTCATTCTTTTTTAAAAAATTTCTGAGCAGTATTCCATTGTCTAGATGTACACAATTTACTTATCCATGCACCTATTGCTGGGCTTACACCTTACTGATGGTTCCTGAAAGGATTATATATATAAAAGGCATTGTCTTCTTTTGAACACGGAAGTCTTTTATCAGACAAGATGAGAGGTGCACGTGACTGACACTGTATTAAAATTTACAGCACTGTATACAGTTGTAATGTTTCTAGTTTGTTCTTCCACGCTGAATAATGCTGGATGATTATGTTCTTTTCGTATTTCTTGGACTAGTCATGGTTGTTAAGCATTTTCCTCACTTACAATTCTTCCTTTCTTTTCTCAGTATTCCATGTTTCAATTCATCTTCGTAGAGTTTCAACTTAGCTTCATAATCTATTTAATTTTTCCTCTGTTTAATATTAGAATTTCTTGTATGGTTTCTTGGAAACCTTACATGTGGTTTAGTAACACTGACATCTTGAATCATTTAGAACTTTGGATAAACAAGAAATGTATGCTATTCCTATAAAATCTTTGAGCAACCTATCTCCTCTCAGTGCTGTAATTTCTAAGTGAATAGCAATGGTTTTCACTCAGTTACTAGGTGCTGGAATGTTCAGTGGAGGGAGTAGTTAGTCTTGACGATTTATGCCCTGCTGAGCCATGGTGGAATAGGAGAGTGAGAAAAGGCAAAAAGTGTTAATAAAATCTGAATATTAGGGCACCTGGGTGGCTCAGTTGGTTGGGCGACTGCCTTCGGCTCAGGTCATGATCCTGGAGTCCCGGGATCGAGTCCTGCATTGGGCTCCCTGCTCAGCAGGGAGTCTGCTTCTCCCTCTGACCCTCTTCCCTCTCGTGCTCTCTGTCTCTCATTCTCTCTCTCTCAAATAAATACATAAAATCTTTAGAAAAAAATCTGAATATTAAATATTAGCAAAATATTGGTAATTGTTGGATTGTGTCATTAACATACGGACTTCGTTATACCTTCCTCTCTACAAAAAAAATTTTTTTTGATAGCAAGGACGCAAGCTGGGGGGAGGGAGAGGGAGAGAGAATCTTAAGCCCAAACCCGGGCTCCATCTCACAACCCTGAGATCATGACCTGAGCTGAAATCAAGAGTTGGATGTTTAACTGATTGAGGCACGCAGGCGTCCCCTTCCTCTGTACACTTAAGTATGTTTGAAAATTTTCTTTAAAGTTTTTAAATCTTGAATTCTATCAGTATATGTGCTGCTGAAGCGAGCACTGTTGAATTCTATCAGTTAAAAAATCTATTGAGAATATGAATCTATTAAGAATATGAATTTTCCCCTTTGAATAGTGAATGAAGTAAATTAGATTAATGAATTTCTTAATTTTGAATCACCTTTACCTTACTAAGTAAACTCTTCTTGGGTCTAAAAGATGGTTATTCTTTTATTATACTGCTGAGATTGATAAGGAGTTTTAAAAAACAATCTTTTTTTAAGATTAAAGATTTAATTAATTTATGTGCATGGGGGGAGGGGCAGGGAAGAAGAAGGAGGGAGAGAATCTGAAGCAGACTCTATGGCGCTGATGTAGGGCTTGATCTCATGACCCGGAGATCACAACTTGAGCAGAAACCAAGAGCTGGATGCCCAACTGACTAAGCCACCCAGGCACCCCTATCTATCTTTATTAAGAAATTATTTTTGTTCATCCTGAAGATTTGCAGAATTTGCCTGTA